AAGATTGCAATACTCATTGTCTTCTACCCAGGCACCAATGGAGTGTCAACGATTCTTGCTCTGCTGTTGACATGAACCTCTGTTGGTAATGTTGTCTGAGTGGTGGAAAGGTGGTTTGGCAGTCCAGGTTTGGGCATGAACTTCTCTCAACCTTTCATGCTCCTGGAGGTGATAGGATATGGTGTTGGAAGAGAGCTTAGAGATTGTTCAATTTAACTTCATTTTATAGAGGCAGAAACTGAGATGGGGGGGGCAGTGATTTGAGTCACATAGGTAACAAGTAGCAGAGCTAGGCGTCAACCGGTTCTGCTGCATATTTCTCAGCAGCAGAAGACAAAGGAGAGACCAGCATGGAACAGAAGTTAGAGCTCTGGTGTGGGAGTCTGGGGACTTGGGTCCCAGTCCCTTCTCTCTAACAGAAAACATTTAACCTTTCTAGGTCTCAATTATTTCTTTATCTCATAATAAATGTGATGGATTAGACTGAGGAATTTCCTGCCATTCTTAAGTCTGTGAGAAGATGGGAGAGTTAAGGTAATAGTTATTCACTTCCTCCCCCAGCATTTGCCAAACTTAACCCTCCTTTATATACAAATTGGACAATATCTCAGGGTCTACTGCTCATCTCCTTTGTTTCCAAAGTCCAAAGCCTCCAGATTCTACCCATCCCTCATGCCCCACCTTAGTGCACAGTCTCCCTGTCCTATTACATTTATACCTGTATTATACAAATTAGAGTATCAACCTGGAAGGAACCTTGGAAATCATCTAGTCACAGGATCATGGAATTTTAGAGTCTGACCCATAACTAATGATGTTTTCTCAGCTTATTTACTATACCATTGATTCATCCACACTTAATAGCACATATCCTATTTTGCATTCAATTAACCAACAAGCATTTATTAAGCACCTGATATGTGTGCCATGCACCGAGGATACAAAGACAAAAGTGAAAGGTTAGTCCTTGCCCTCAACAATCTTGCGTTCTACTGGATGCCTGGCATTCTTTATGACCTCTTTACTTTGACTAGTCTTGTTGTCCTAGCAATACAATAAACTCCTTTGGTACCACTTGGATGAAAGTGGTGATTGTTTTTACTTCCCTGTAAAGTCACAGTGCTCGGCATGGTGGCTTGCACATACTAGGTACTCAAATAAATGTTGACCCCTTTTTAATCAATTGGCCCCACAACACCCAGAAATTTAAGAGAGATATATCCAACTATATTCAAATTTTGCATCTTCAACATGCAGCAACTACTCTGAAAAGACCTGAAGATGGTTGGACCAAACCTGCTTGGTCTGGCCATGGTACTTCTACTAGACCCTGTGTAATTGTAATGAGTCAGCTGGAACACAGGAAAATGATTAGAAATTTTCCATTCCTACAGCTGACACACAGTTTTAAAAACCTTGTCACCTTTTACCTGGATTTTTACAATAACCTCATCAATTTTCCTGCTTCTAGTCTCTATCTTTTCAACCACTCATCATATTGTGGCCAAGTTAATCATCCTAAAATATCACTTTCCTTAAATCACTTCCTCTGCTAAAAAACAAATTGGCTTCCAATATCATAAAAACCACTGAATTTTAGAGGTAGAAGGAATTTCACAAGCCATCTAGAGCCAGTCCTTTCCAGTCTGGCCCTAGCCCACATTTTTAACCACATCTCCCCCTTCCCTTCCTTCACAAATCCTCCCTTTAACCAGACTAGCTTATTACATTCTTCAGATTAGCTTTGCTCATTCTCACTCCCAAATCTTTGTTTTCTAGGTTTCTTTAGAATACCCTCCCCATATCTACAAACTCCTCATTTTACAGAGGGAGAAGGTGAATGATGCAGCTGTGGTGCTGTGGATAGAGAGCTAGATTGGGAGTCAAAGTACCTGAGCTAGAATCCTGGCTCTGGTATTGATTTTCTCCCTGTGTGACCTTGGGTAAGTAAGCCATTTGCTTCTCTAGTTCTCTGTTTTCTTGCCTGTAAAATGATGGAATTAGATTAGATGGCATTTAAGTTCTCCTTCAGTTCTAATCTATGATCCTATGACTCTTTCTCCAAGATGACACAGGATTAGAAGTAGGGTTAGGATCCAGGTCTCCTGATACTCAATCCAGGTCACCATGACATAGAAAGAGCCCCAGGGATTGAGAGTCAGGAGACACCTGGGTTGGAATCTCTGTCATCTTTGAAACTTCCTAGCTATGTGACCATGGACAAGTCACTTAATCTCTCTGAGTCTCAGTTTCCTCCTCTACAAAAGGGGAATAATAAGACCCAAAGTATCTACTTAAAACAGGGCTGTTGTAAGGATAAAAATAATTTGGGTGTAAACCCTTTCTGCAGCCTTAAAATGATATATAAACGATAGCTACTACTATAATTTGCTGTTATGATATATGATATTGGTCTTTAATGATGACCTTTCTTTTAGCTGTGGACTTCCTAAAGGCAGGGACAGTGTTTCACATTCTTTTCTGTATGCTCTACCATACAGAATGCTTGAACCTTTTCCTTCTTTGTTAGACAGCCAAGCAGATAGAGAGAATGAAGCCTCGTGCATCTATCACTCTGAACTCCTTAGGGAAGGGATGAGAGCAATATGAGGGCAGGGGCTTCCCACCCCCTCTCCTATGTAGAGGGACAATTAGGTTTCTGCCTCAGGCTCAGAGGGCCCCAAATATAGCATCAACATCAAACTCTTGAGCAATAGCATGTGTTTTCCCCACCCCCAAACTTTCTATGAAGTGTAAGACACTGCATAGAAGTTAGATTTCCCCTCTCAATTATTAGTGTATTTGCACCAGGGAAAAGAATAAAAAAAGCATTTAAAATATTGAACATTCACATTTTGTTTCCCTTTTTTTGGTGTCCTATTTTGTCTATTTTTTTTAATGGCAGGGACCTCAGAAAATCGTGCTTTCCCTCTCTCTCTGGAGCTTTAAGGGCCCCTAGACGTGGGCCACTCTGGGAATAGACCCCTCAGGAATCAGATCTGACTATCCTGGAGGTGGAAGGACCTTTTCTTACAACCACAAAATGTCAGAGTTGGAAGGATCTTAGAGACCATGTCAGGGCTAGGCTAACTCTGATAGATGAAACTGAAGCTCAGAGAAGAATTTGACTTGTCTGAGGTGAGAGCTTGGGGGAGCTGTCCAGCTGGCCCTATGGATAGCTACCCCCAGCTGGAAGGTTTTTTGTGCGTTCACTCAATGACCTTGTTTTGACCACTGAGAAGTAGAAGGGCTAGGAGGGGCGTTTCCCGATGCCCATTCCTCCCGGGTCCACAGAGACAGCACACTAGGCTCGGACTAAGTGGCTGAAGTTTCTTTATTATCCCTGAATTGCATTACAAGTAATACTGCCGGCTGGGGCGGGGCTAGAGGAGCCTTGAAGTAGGAGCTCGCGCAGGGAAGGGTCGGGGGAGAGGGGAGTGGGGAGCGCTAGGCGCTTGTACAAAATCTGGCCAAAAAGCCGAACATGCATGGAAAATTATTGCTGTTGGAAGTTCCTATTTACAATATAAACACACATTGGGAATCGATTCTACAATACCCTCCTCCCCCCGGCCCTGCACCCCAGTCTCTCTTCACAGGGAAGGGCCTAGAACCATAGAATGTCAGAGCTGGAAGGGATAGTAAAGGCTGTCTAGACCAACCCCCTCATTTTACAGATGAGGAAACTGAGGCCCGGAGAGGTTATGTGACTTGCCTAAGGTCACACAGCAGAGAACAGTGACTAGAACCCAGGTCTGTTGATTCCCTGTCCGGGGCTCTTTCCAATGCAGTCTGCTGTAACATCTGAGAGAAAAAGTTTTCAATGACGTTCTCTGTTTACCCCCCCCCTCCTCCCCAGTACTTGAGAGTTGAACCCTTCCATTTGGGGAAGCCCACCCCCTGTCCCGATGGGGGATAGAAATGAGTGGGGAACCCCCTTCCTCCTATCTGGGTGTGAAGCTATTGCGAGGAGAAGATGTGGGACGGAGACGTGTGCTTAAAGCGGGATTTGGGGCCCATGCGCTAGGGAGGCGTGTGCGGCCCTGCAGGGGAGGGGAAGAGGGCCCTGGGCGGGGCCGTGTGCTTGTGATACCTCTGCAAGCATGCAAAGGGTGACGGCACTGTGGCTCTAGAAAGACAGGGCACCGGCCATTCTGCGCCGCCATCAGGGGAGGTAGGAGGCAGGATGTGAGGTCCTGGCTGGGGGCTGGCCCCTGTGGGGGTCTTGGGTCCCCCTCTGCTGGGAAAGTTGCATAGACTTGGAAGGCGGCCTCCTGCCTTTCATTTCAAAGGTGTGCGGGCTATATATAGGTGGGATGAGTGTGGGGTTGGGAAAGCTGTGGCTTCTTCCCTTGACCTCAGGGATTGCCCCACCTCACCCTGGCCCTCTGAAGGCTCCGCTTCCCTCCAGAAACAGCATAAAGGACAAATATGGATTAGGACTTCTCATAGGCAGGGCAATCCTGGTGGGCTTCTTGGAGGAGTTGCAGTGGGGACCTGCCCCATGAACCCCTACAGTCTTTCCCTTCCTCTGCCCGGCGCTCTCCGGGCAAGGCATGAATTGGATCGGGGAGGGTGGGGAGAGAACCTTGGAGCCTGCCAACCCACCAAGGACCAGGGAGGTGGCTATGTTTGTCTGTATGTGCGCGTCCACGGACCTCTTCTAGAGCAGACGCTGAGGTTATACTGTAGATCATCTTCCTTCAGTGACCCCTTCCTCCATTTATCCCATATCCCCGAGTCGGGCGCACGGAGAAGCGCCTTCCTTCCACCCCTAGCCAGATCCTCAAGTCCTTTCAGTCGGGGCCTCGCCTTCTAAGAAGCCTTGCCAGTCTCCCCAGTCCAGCTGGAGATCCTCACCTTCCCATAGAGGGATACTCCCCTTTCGGAGGGAACAATAAATAAATAAATAGATAAATACAAATAAATAAATAACTCGCTGGCCCAGCCCCAGGGAGACCCGGGCCTCCCCTCTTCCCCCCCCCCCAGGAGTTGCCTGTTCTGGGGAGTGGGAAAGTGCTCAGAGAGGAAGGAAGACAGAACAGGAGAGAGGAGAGTGGGAAAGAGGACCCACAACTGGGGAAGGGAACCTGCCCTTTCCCTGAGCTGGTGGCGGGGGGGGGGGGGGGAGGAGCAGGAGGGAGCAGCAGAGTTCTGAGTCCCCGTGCCCCAAGGGCCCATTCTGCTCTGAGGTTCACCTCCTGAGGCCACCTGGGGGAAGTGGGGGATGGCAGTAAGAAGAAGGTGGGAGAGGGGGACTAGTAACGAAGAAGGAGGAGGAGATGGAAAGGGATGTCGGGGCAGATGAGGGGAGAATGCCTGGGAGGGGAAAGTGGGTCCTAGCCAGGAAAGGAAGAGTGTATTACTGGAGAGGGCTTGGGGCTCATGGGGACTGAGCTTCAGAGGTTCGGTTTGGGTGTAAGTGGGCCTGGGGGAAAAGACATGAAATCCTTAGACTAGGCAGTCCCTGGATTGTAAAGGGAGAAGTAGGGCAGGGAGAGATGGGCCAGACCTTGGATGGGGAAAGGGATGTAATTTATGCTAATGAGCGGTACTTAGGCTGAGCTAGAGTGGGATGGGGTGAGGTGGCTGGGCCGGGTTTATAATGGGAAGAGGATAGAATTAGGGATGTAGAAAGGGCGGAGTTTGAACTGAACGGTAGCGGACCTGGGACTGGGCTGAGAAAGGGCATTAGGAGAGGAGATGGGGAAGGGCCTGGCCAGAGAGGGAGGGGTTGAATTAGTTGTCCAGAGTAGCGGTGGAGGCGGTGCAAGCATGCTCAGCGCCTTTGAAGCAGGCGGCTTCGCAGTGCTTGTTGAGGTAGGACTTAAGCGCGAAGGTCTTCTCGCACTGGCGGCACTTATAGTGCTTGAAGGCCGAGTGCGTTTGCATGTGCGCTCTCAGGTTAGAGCGGTCGGCGAACGCTTTGCCACAGTGCGAGCAGCCGAAGGGCTTCTCGCCCGTGTGCGAGCGCATGTGGCCCTGCAGCAGCCAGGGTCGGGAGAACGCCTTGCCGCAGACACCGCATTTGTGGCGCAAATTGTGCGTGAGCACATGCATGGCCAGAGCCGGCATGGATACGTAGGCCTTGCCGCACGTCGGACATTTGCGCGCAAGCTTGCTGTCCAGGCTGCGGTGCGTCTGCTTGTGCCGGCTTAGGTTGGACGACGTGGCGTACGTCTTGCCGCATTCACCGCACGAGTGTCGGTGCCCCCCGCTTCCACCCCCAGTTCCCCCAGGACCGTTCCCGCCCCCTGCCCCCCGGGCATCCCCAGCTCCGCGCCTCCGGGAGCGCCCGTCGGAGATGAAAAAGGCATCCATGGAGTAGCTGTCCGTCACCGCTGCCTCTCCTCGAAAGTAGCGCGCCGACAGGCTCGACTGCGGGCTCTCGGGGTCGCTGTACTCCTCAGTAGCTGGTGGATACGCAGCTTCCGACGGCGCCAGTTCCAGCCCCGGTTTCTTTTCGCTGTCATAGCTGGGGGGCGGAAGGCAGTGTGGAGCATAGCCTGGGGAGGGCAGGTACACACACACGCAAGGAAGAGTTAGGCAGGCTCTATCACACGGTCAGCTCCAGGGGGACAGACAGGGACCAGTTCTCAAACTACATACCCCAGACCCCAGCACAGGTCTTTGCACACAGTGGGTGCTAGTGAATGCCCATCTCTGGGAATCCTCTTTGGACCAATCACTTCATTCTGGACTTTGTATTACTCTTCTCTCTGTTGTTTGGGCAGTTAGATGGAGTAATGGATAGAGTGCCTAGCCTAAAGTCAGGAAGACTCGTCTTCCTGAGTTCAAATCTGGCCTCAGTCACTAACTAGCTAGGTGACCCTGGGAGAGTCATTTAACACTGTTTGCATCAGTTTCCTCATCTGTAAAATGAGCTGGAGAAGAAATGGCAAACCCACTTCAGTATCCTTGCCAAGAGAACTTCAAATGGGGTCAGAAAGAGTTGGACAGGACTGAGCAACAACATTGTGAATTACTAAACAAAATGTGATACATTCATGTAGTGGAATATTCTTGCTCCATAAGAAAAGATGATATGAAGATTTTGGAGAAGGATGAGAAGAACTGAACTAATGCAGAGTGAAGAACACAGAACCAGTAAAACAGTATATCTCATCTTTACAATAATGTGAATGGAAAGAAGCCAAAATCTGAAACTGAGTGTGTAATTTATTCTATGTAGTTGTAATGATCAAAGTTAGCTTCAGAGAAGAGATGAAAAAATACAATTACTGTCACTCCCTTCTTTGCAGAAGTGGGGGACTATGGATATGGACAATCATATGTACTGTTAGAATTTGTCGATGTTTTGGTTGGTTTACTGAACTGCTTGTTTTTCTCTTTAATTTTTGTTACGAGGAGATGGCTCTTTGGGTACTGGAGGGGAGTAGGATATATTAGGAAATGAGGAGGATGTAAGAACAAAATATGTCAACATTTAAAACAAATTTAACGTAGTAGAAACCTGCATGACCTCTATATTCTAAGTACCCTCTATAAGCTTTCACATGCTGTATTTCAAGTTTCCATCTCTAATAATCCATGTTCTAAGTTCAATAGGATTTCAAAGTGGGTAAGACCTTGGAGATTCCAACTCCTTTTTTTATATGGTTGACTCTGTGAAAGGTTAACAAATTTTCTCCAGGTCATATATAGCAGATAAAGGATTCAAAGCTGAGTTCTCTGACTCCATTGCCAGTGCCCTTTCCCCTATACACACACTGACTGCCAATCCTTATAGTTCTAACCTGATATGTTCTGTGGTACCTTCTAGCTCTGATATTCTGAATCCTTATTGGGTGAGTAATAATAGGGGCTTCTGTGGAGTCGTGCAGAAGGAAGAGAAATCCATAGTCTGCCCTCAAGGGTTTACATTCCTAGATGGACCTACGTTCCTTAAGTGGTCCTGAATTTGGACCATCCTAGACCATCAGCTTCACTTCTTTCCTGCTCCTGGGACCTGAGTTTTCTACTTAAAACAGCACCACTACCTCCCAAGGAGATCAGGATGAGGACTCAGCTTCTCAGTTTCCAAGAGTCTATAGTGTAAGGGTTTAGACTCCCGTGCCCTTCCCGAGAGAGGCCCCCTTGAGCAGCCTTTTCCTCCCCCCTTTCTCTGAGGGAGTGAGGCCAGACCATTAAGTGAAGGATAAGGATGAAAAAGGAGGAAATCTATAAGTAGTGCAAAGACAGGCAGCTGTTGGCAGCTCAGAACAGAAATGCTGAAGGGATGTGGGAATGAATTGGGTGATTAGCACCAGAATGAATCAGCAGAGGGAGGGGGGGGCAGCTGAGGACAGCATCAGGGCTGGGAGCCAGGACACCTGGGTCTTGTGTCTCCATCTACCACCTTGAGTGTAGCTTCACACTGGGCAATCCTCCCTTAGAGTTCATTTTATTCATCGATGTCTCTAGGCAGGCTTGCATTGAAGCCCAAAAGGAAACCTCTCCAGTAAAGCCTCCAGGATCCTTTCTGAGAACTGTTTCTGCTTATAGTTCTTTGCTGTGTGACTTTGGGGATGTCACTTAATCTATTTGTGCCTCAGTTTCTCCTGGGAAAGTGACCTCTGACCTGGGGCTTTTGGGAGATTACTGTCATCTTAGAAATCTCTTTACCTTCATCCTAGTATCAATCCAATTCAACAGGTATTAAGTACCTACTTTGCTAAGCACACAAAGACAAAAGGAAAACCAGTCCTTTTCCTTAAGGTACTTACATTCTTTTTTGGAGGTAGGAAGAATATAAAATGTATGTCATCTTGTGTTCCACATGCCCTTATGGACTCCACCAATTTAAGAAGTGAAATTGTATTAATAGATAATAACACTCCCCTGGCACTTGGATAACACTTGCTGTGCAAAGATTTTCACCTCTTAATGCCATCCAATCTTCATAGCATCCCCTTATTATTATCCTCATTTTATTGAGTCTCAGAGATACAAAGTTACTTGCTTAAGGTCACGAAGTAGCTTTTAGAATCATAGGATCAAATGGACTTCCAGGACCAGATATCTAGTTTAAGGTCTTTTTGTTTGTTTGCTTTGGTGAGGCAGTTGGGATTAAGTGACTTGCCCAGAGTCACACAGCTAGTAAGTATCAGGTGTCTGAGGCCGGATTTGAACTCAGGTCCTCCTGACTCCAAGGCCAGAGCTCTATCCACTGCCTTACCTAGCTTTCCCTTAAGGTCTTCTTTTTACAGAGGAAGAAACAGACATGGAAAGGGTGACTGACTTGTCCAGAGGCATATAATAGTGAATTAAAGGCAATGCTGGGATTAGAATCCAGATCTTCTTCTCCCTACCTCAGGGCTCTTTGTTTTAGGTGCACTGTGCAGATCTGTAAAGGAATCTCCCTGGAGTTAGCATCTCCCTAGAACTGGGATGACATTAAGTAGGGGATAGGAATATATCCTAAGGGTTAATATATCTGGCTCCTGTTTCCATAGGGCTTAGTAAATTAGGTTGGATTGTATTGCTTTAAGGTTTGCAAAGTATTTTCTTCATAATAGCCCTGTGACAAAAGAAACAGGAGTCTTATTAGCCCCATTTTACAGAGGAAGAAACTGAAGGGCAGAGAGAGGAAATTATTTGTGTCTCACAGCCAGAGTATCAGAAATGGATTTGAAAACCATGCCTTTTCACACTAAGTCTGATGCTCTTAGACTCCACCAATGTCCCTAGCCACACGTGTAGATCCCTGAGCAGAGCACAGAATTAGGAGGCTGTTGGTTCCATTTCATGATGCGATGACAGAATAGTGAATAACTAAACATAATTTCTGTAGACTGAGTAATATCTTCCATATATGTGTATTACTACTTTTCAAATGCATGTAGATGCAGTTGTGATTCATAAAATACAAATTCATTTAAAAGTATTACTGAATTTATAGATTTTCATCATTTTTCAGTGTCAGTACTACAGTCATGAGGTACAAGAAATTTTTTGATGTAAAAAAAGATCTAGATACTCGAAAAGATTGGTAACTACAGTATGATACTGTATAACCTCTCAAGTTGATTTCTCTAACTGCTCCCCATAAAGTGGTCCCTAGCCCTTCCACTAAAGCCCCAGTCTCTCACCCTCCTCTGGTCCAGCCTTTTCAGGTTAAAGGAGCTGTGGCTCCATCGCCCTCTTATGGTGGCATGCGGGTACTGTAGCCTGGCTTCCATCCCTTGGAATCATGTGCCTCAGTCGAAATAAGGCAGAGCAGGGCAAGCTACTCACCAAAAGAAAGGTGGTGACCAAAACTTGGGGTCAGTGGGGAGTGTTTTTCATAGGAACCCTGCCCTTGGGGTTAGAGGTGGCAGCATATTCTAAGCTGCTGCTTCTGTTAGTTTTCTGTACAATCTTATTGCTCACCTCCTGGGGATGGCTGCTGCTGGTTCTGGAAAGCAGTTTTTTTCCCCCTCTGATGGATCTCATAGCCTTCCTACATCCTTCTTCCCCACCTCCATGGCCTCCATTTTATTTAATCTAATATCATAGATCTATGTCTTGCCCCCTCCATTCTCTGTTCCCACATCTTCCCTCCCACCCCCCAACTATGCTAGGATCATAGCAGAAATGTTCAGGTTGGGTGGGGCCTGTTCAATGAAATTATATTGCCTCCTTCTGCTTCTTTGGGTCTTCCTGAAGATCTCTGCAAGCTCAAGCCGTGGTATGGTAGGTAGGGCTAAGCCTGCTTATATTCACTGGACAAAATGAATCGTTTCATGTGCTGGACTACTAGCATGTTTTGCTCTTCCCCGCCCCCCCCCCAGCCCCTACACCTGTCTGAGGCTTCTATCCCAGGGACCATCCTTATAGTACCACACCTTTATCTGTCAGTCAGCAGACTTTCACTGAATCCCTGGGACATGCTGGGTACCACTAGGATCTGTTAAGAGTGAACTGGTAGGGACTTCAAGTGCCATTCCCCTCTGTGGCCTTTTTAGCCACTGGAAGGCTAAAAGCACACTAATACGAGTCCTGTTGTATGAATCATACTTTACAGGTTACAAAGCCATTTTCTCACAAAGTCTTACGGAATGCAAAAATTATTCTATTTTACAGAGTTGGAAACTGAGGCTTAGAAAACAGAAGTGATTTGTCTAAGGTAATACAGCTCATTACTTGAAGACCAAGGACTCAGGGCCCTTGAGTCCAAGTCATGGCTGTTTTCATTGCACCAAAGGAGCTGGACAGGCTTTCAGGAAGCAACCCTTTCATTTTGCAGGTAAAAACTGGGAACTAGAATAAGGCAGTAACTTGTCCAAAGTCATACAATAGACCAATATTTGGTCTGGAATTTGAACTCAGGAATTCTGACTCCCAGTTCAGTGTACTTTCATTGATACCATAATGAATCTCTCTTAGTTTAGTCTAAGTTTTGGGGAAATTTGGGAAACTCAGGGCTGTGTCAAAACCAACATAAGCTCAGCGTAAAGAACCCCTGGGAAGTGCTAGATGGAAGGCTGGCTCTTTTTGATGAGCCCCTTGGTCCTGTCCAGTGGCA